GAAATCATATCGATGGTGAGGTAGTTATATAAGAAATGAAGATGAAATATAAAAAGTGGTCCTTATACTGATTACAAAAGTATGAAAAGGTGTACATATGCCCAGGTGTGGTGGCTTATGCTTGCAATCCTAGCACTTTGGGAGGTTGAGGCGGGAGGATCACTTGAGGTTAGGGGTTAGTTTGACACCAAGCCTGAGCAACAGCGAGACCCCATCTCCACAAAAAATAGAAAAAATTAGCTGGGTGTGGTGGCTCAAGCCTGCAGTTCCAGTTAGTTACTCAGGAGGCTTAGGCAGGAGGATCCCTGGAGTCCAGGAGTTTGAGGCTGCAGTGAGCTACGATGACGCCACTGCACTCTAGCCTGGGCAACAAAGTGAGACCATGTCTCCAACAACAAAAAAGCATTTAGTATTTTAGTTTATGGGTCTTTTCTCCACTTCAGTAGCCATTTCCCCTCATTTAACAGTATCCAAAAATTTAGAAATATGGTAATCCTTTTGGGGTAAGAATGCAATTTTAGGGATTTCCTACATACTTAAACTAGCCCTGTGATTGTTTTCCAGCTCCCTACGAGGGAGTACATTGTGTAGTACATTAGAATTACCTGTGGAACTTAAAGAACAAGCCCTCTGTTCAGGTCACACCCCATACCAATTAAACCAGAATGTCTGGGGGTGGGAATCAGGCATCAGTATTTTTTTTTTAAAGATCCCTAAATTATTCCAAAATGCAGTTTAAGAACCATGGATGTAATGTTGTAGAGTTGCCTCACTTTTTTTCCCCAAACAATTTTTTTGAAATGTGTCAAGAGTACATGGGCAACACAAATGCATGAACAGGAAAAAAAAAAAATCACATGTACAGTAATTTTTAAAAAGTGAAGGTTAATCTTGGGAGACATCAGTTCCCTTCTCCCTCCCCCAACAGACTTCTATATGCGATAACAACTTCAGCTGCAGTATTTTTTAGAGAATGATACATTATCTGAACTCCGAAGTTAAAAAGGAAGAGACACAAAGTCTCTGTCCTTAGGCAGTGATTCAAATTTCCATATGCTAACAGTCAAAACAATCAATAGTTTATTTTTGTACATCTTGCCTCCCCCCAAAAAAATATAAAATTGAAATTTGAGTTCTCTGGAATAAAAGGTAAAAAGAGATGGCACGGAAAATTATTACTAGGAACTATGCCATAGCAAGGTAAGAAAAGGTAAAAAAAAATATACTAAGATTTTAACTTGGTATATTTAACCGTCAAAAATTGCTATCCGGTCTCTAGAAAAATAAAAATTTGTCATAGAAGACCGTGTTTCCTAAAATGTCAGTGAAAACATAGAGTGTCACACACTAAATATCTGCAATAAATTTAAGTCATTCCTGCCGTTATATCTGCTGCCATTGTTGGTGAGAAAGTGACTACCTCCTATGTAGTTAACCCAACTTCTCACCTGATACTAAAGCTATCTGCTCTAATCACAAATAAGACAGGCTGTGAATGCTGTTTCCCTCATACTTACTTACTATTTTCCATCATATTCAAAGAAAAAGGATCTTATCTTTACAGAGGTTTCTTGCTGCATTCTTTGACTGAACCTTTGAACAATTCAGTTGAGGGATTGAAAAGACTGTTTTAAAGCTGACAACTTAAGTTCCATCTTCTGTGTTACTACATTCAATTACTATTTAGAATTCCAGTTCCCACTTGGGCTGCAATTCCAAAACGCTTGAACTACCTTAATGATTACTTTCATGTATATCCTAAATCCCTGATGTGGACACAATTCCTCTTATTTTAGATAATACAAATATGATTATTTAAAGCAATTATTTCTTATTCAATATATCTTTCATATAATATTCTTTATTTCAAGGCCGAGAAGCAATTCATAATTTACTTGCATTCTGCATGCCCCATTAATATCTACTTATTGTAGACGGTGATGAAAAACCACTACAAATCTGGTCTCAGAACTAATTATCAATACTATAATACCTGTTCGTAAGATTCTCTTTCTGGCCAGGCGGGGTGGCTCATGCCTATAATCCTACCACTCTGGGAGGCCAAGGTGGGAGGATCCCTTGAGCTCAGGAGTTTGAGACCAGCCTGAGCAAGAGCAAGACCCCATCTCTACAAAAAGTAGAAAAATTAGCCAGGCGTGGTGGTGAGCAACCGTAGTCCCAGCTACTCAGGAGGCTGAGGCAGGAGGATCACTTGAGCTCAGGTGTTTGAGGTTGCAGGGAGCTGATGCCACTGTACTCTAGCCTGGGCAACAGAGCGAGACTCTGTCTTATTAAAAAAAAAAGTCTCGGCCGGGCACGGTGGCTCACGCCTGTAATCCTAGCTCTCTGGGAGGCCGAGGCGGGCAGAGTGTTTGAGCTCAGGAGTTCGAAACCAGCCTGAGCAAGAGCGAGACCCCGTCTCTACTAAAACTAGAAAGAAATTAATTGGACAACTAAAAATATATAGAAAAAAATTAGCCGGGCATGGTGGCACATGCCTGTAGTCCCAGCTACTCGGGAGGCTGAGGCAGGAGGATTGCTTGAGCCCAGCAGTTTGAGGTTGCTGTGAGCTAGGCTGACGCCACGGCACTCTAGCCCGGGCAACACAGTGAGACTCTGTCTCAAAAAAAAAAAAAAAAAAAAAGTCTCATTCCTTTGTTCTCCTCCTGATCTCTGATTATTCCTATTAATTTATTTCTAATCCTTACATACAGATTCTGACCAACTCTGCATTCCTTTTTTAGTCACCACACCCATGGTCTGACCTCTCTCAATTCTGACCCCACACTCCCAACCTCCTGACATCTCCACCTATTCTACCCCAAACCAATTTCACATTCTAATAGAGGGAGATACAAAAGTAAAATGTTTAGTGTGCCAAATAAAGAGTAATTACTACAGAGGAGTCTTTTCTAACAAATGGTTCTGGGCAAGTAGATATCCACATGCAGAATGAAGTTGGACCCCTAACTCACACACACAAAAATTAACTCAAAATGGATTAAAGACCTAAATGAAAGAGCTAAAACTATAAAACTTGGAAGAAAATAAGCATACATCTTTGTGAGCTTGGGTTAGGCAATGGTTTCTTAGATACAACATTCACAGGACAAGCAACTAAAGCAAAAATAGATAAATTGGACTTCATCAAAATTGAATTCTTTTTTTAAAAAAACAGCGTCTTGTTGTCACCCAGGCTGGAGTGCAGTGGCACAATCATAGCTCACTGTAATCTCGAACTCCTGGCTTCAAGCGATCCTCCCACCTCTGCCTCACTACAGCTTTGAACTCCTGGGCTCAAGCAATCCTCCTGCCTCAGCCTCCCAAGTAGCTGGGACTACACATGCACGCCACTATACCTGGCTAATTTTTAAAAATGAAAAACTTTTTATAGACAGGGTCTTGTTCTATTGCCCAGGCTGGTCTGGAACTCCTGTTCTCAAGCCATCCTTCTGTCTCACAGCCTCACTAGTAGGTGGAATTACAGGCAAAAGTCATGATGCCCTGCTCAAAATTGACAATTTTGTGCTTCAAAAGACACTACTAAGAAAAGGAAAAAAACGGAGAAAATATTTACAATTCACATCTGGTAAGGGACTAATATACAGAAGAACTCACGATTTAATACTAAAACACAATTTAAAACTTGACAAAAGATTTGCATAGACATTTTTCCAAAGATATACAAATGACCACTAAGCACGCAAAAAAAAATGCAAACCAAAGCCACAATAAGATGCTACTTCACACCCACTAGGAAAACTATAATCAAAGAGTTTGAAACAAGTCAGAGAAACTGGAATCCTCAGTCATTGCCGGTGGGAATAATATGTGGTGAAGACACTTTCAAAGTCTGGCAGTTCCTCACATGTTACCGTTATGGCCCAGCAATTTCATCCCTGGGTACATAGCCAGAGAACTGAAACCATGTGGACACAAAACCTGTACATCAAAGTTCACAGCAACATTATTCATAACGACAAACTGAAAAAACCCAAATGTCCAACTGATGCATGTATAAATTAAATACAGCACATCTGACTTTTTTTTTTTTGCTAGCTCCCTCCCTCCCTGACAACTACTGTTTAGCAGTAAAAAGGAATCAAGTATTGATACAGGCCACAACATGGACGAGCCTCAAATACATGCTAAGGAAAAAAAGCCAGCCACAGAAGACCCTGTTTAAATGAAATTTCCAGAGTAATATAGAGAGATAAAAAATAGAATGCTGGTGGCTTATAGCTGGGGGATGTGGGGGGGAATCAAAAAGATGACTAAAAGGTACAGGATTTCTTTTTGAGGTGATGAAAATGTTCAGGAATCAAGAGGGGTGATGGCCACATAATTTTGGAGACATACTAAAAACTACTTACACTGTATACTCTAAAAAGGTGACTTTTATTAAAAAAAAAAGTTTAAAAAAACTATGGCAGAAATTAAATGAGGGAAGATAGGGAGTGTACGTTTCTATATGTGTATGTTCTACTATAAATAGTTCTATAAAAGAAAACACCTTCAATCAAGCACAAAGAATATTCAAATAGCAAATTGTGAACATTAAACATTTAAATTCCATTACCAAAAGTGACTTGAAGTATACTTTCACTAGTTTAGAAATCAAGTGACTATAATCCAAACTAAATCCTTAAATTTAAAATTATTGCTCTTTTGGGAAATGTGTAAGTTTCTCAAGGGACAAAGCCCCAAATCTTGTCTACAGAATAAAAATCTTAGATTGCCTTGCCATAGTTTAAGGTAATAAAATTTAATATAGCAACTTAAAAAAAAGTATATTTCAATACTTTTTTAAAGATGAAGAATGTTTATCACAGCTTTGCAGCCACTTTTCCCCCAACATTCCAAGTGCCCTGCACACATTTCTCAAACACAAGTACATTCCTGAGTTGAGAGCATCATCATCTTCCCACAGTAAAAGAGCATGACATCAACTCATCATGTACAAAGATAAAAGGTTTAATAAAAACCATTAAACTCCAAAATCCATATATTTACTTTTTATTGAATTTGTTAATGTTACAGAGTTCTTGCACTGCCAAACCATGCCTGAGAATTCAAAGAAAGAAATGGTACAATGGACAGCCTCATCCACCCATCATACAGTATATTAAAACTTGATTCATGTACATTTTGATATTTTCACAATCTTTTAAAAAGTTATAACAAGAGTTGGAATTTAAATCTGCTGCAGGTCTTCAGATTTCTAGTACAGTATGCCATTAAATAACGCCTCCATATTCACCTCAGTTCATTCCTCGATAACATAACCCCAACAAAATTTTGCTGGAAAAAAGGCATACTTTTCAGGGAAAACATGTGGCTCAAGGTCCAAGAGATTATTTACTAAGGTTTTTGGTTCCCAAATGAAGTCTTCAGTTTAACCAAGAATCCCGTTTCTCTTGTTTAATAATCCACCCTCCCATTGGCTGGCTCAGTTACTTCCACCCAAACACATCAGAAGGCAGGCATCCTGCCCACCACCTCGAATAATGCCAACATTATTGCAAAAATGTGGCTGGCAGGTCCTGTCAGGAGATACTGTAATCTCCTAGAAGTCAATTCCTGCGCTGACACGTTCATCAAGATGGGACTGCTACAGGAAAACAGCCCCACATCAGGACAGTTTTACTCGCCCATTTGCTTCACTCTTGCCAGTAGCAAGTCTGCACCTCCTGCATGTGGCAAAGGGATTTATTATAGAGAAACCCAGACTGCACCAGGTGGTCACGTACCACTCTGAAGTATTTCTGTTGAACCAACAGAGAACTAAGAAACTGCCAGACTAACTCATTAGGTAGAAAGAAACTTTTCTATGTAATCCTGGGTAGCTTCAAGTCCCTTTTTAAGACTAAAAACTACTAGACAGTTAAACTGTAATTATTAAAAATGAAGTGCTACATCACCTGTCTTTTACCCTGACTCCAAATGAACAACACAAAGACACATCAAAAGGTTGATAAGAGAGCTAGCTGGGACAATCTCTGCATATACAGAACTTCCAATACCTTAAATTTGGGCACAAGTATATATGGAATTCTTAAAAGATCACGCATGATCCCTTTAACTTGCATGGGTTTTAGCTGAGGTTTTCGCTTACATTGCTTTGAATTTGTAAGGACAGGTCAGTGAATCCCTTAGCCTGAGCAGAAACCACACTCTTTCCACTGCAGTTTACCACACATCTTAGACCTGATTAGAGGAGGCTTTAGCAGCACCTGAAGTAGAGCCTCTGGCATCCACTGCCCTTTACATCAAAGGCTATTTGGTTCTACTCTCGGGATTGGCAAATTCACAAGACATTTCACAATTCTAATGCATACTTCAGGTTACTTACTTAACCAAGCAATATGCTCTGTCAAAGAACTTATTTCAAGTCAAAGCAAAAAAGGCCTTAATGTGGAACAAAGAAAAAGCACTATCCAAATAAAAAATTACTAAGAGAAACAAGATTATTCTCTCTCCCACCCCCTTTCCCACTTGGAGGACCCAAGTTTGGTTGAATTTAATTTGTGGTTACCTCAGAACACAACTGAAAGTTTAAATTACAAATCACAGCCCTACACAGATGATCTGAACACATCAGTTCTTTTGAGATAAGCATGTTCCAGGAAGTCTAATATAGCCACAGCCTACTAGCGAGTATTCCTTAAGGGTGGGGCACAGGACAGATCAATTAAGGTCACTTAAATCTTCATCTTTTACAGCAGATCAGAACCCAGATGGCTGACTTTCTGCAGGATTTCTGATAGGAATCCGGTAGAGCTGGTTTCAAGGTTCATGTCGACATTTAATAGCTGTAACCTTCTTATCCAGAAGTTGTGATCCACATGAGTCCACAATGAGTGCAGCAAATCTGAGGTAGTCAACCCTTACGAAGGCTCAGTATCTGAACACAAAAAGATTTTGAAATGACCACTGGCTGCAGGTTTTGGTTTTTTGTATTTGCAGAGTAATTATGAAAGAACACTGTGGAATCTAGTTCACACATTTATGTAACAATGAAAATTCCTCTAAATCCAATATACATAAAGAGCAGCTGTGACACTTCAAACTTCCATAGTGCAATAGGGCCAGTCACTTAAATCAAGTGGTCTGCATCGGTTGCTGTAGATCCAGCAGAGATCAGATGATGAATGGCTGTTCATGGTGGTTAGCTGTGGTCTAGATACCTTAGAAGGGTTAGCAAAGACCATTCCTTAATTGTACTGTGTGTGGCTGCTTTTCTGATTTTCAAGCACAGCATACTGGTTGTCTAGCTGAAGTTTAAGTGCCTGGTTTTTTGAAACCTCATCCCTACCTCTATTTTTGTGTCTTACTACTTCAAAGCTCTTCTCCATTTCTTTATCCCTAAGGGAAAAGAAATGTAATCAGTAAATATTTCTTCTTCACTGGGGTTTCTGAAAATATTCTTCCTTGAATTAAAAAAAAAATAAAAAATAAGCCACCACTTGGAAGAATCTTGGGGAGGGACACGAGGGGAGAACTAGTATATAAAATCCTTACCAAACCATTTTTAAGGCTTCGATTGAACAGAAAACACAAAACACTGTACTGAAGTTCCATGGTCCTGCTTTCTACTGAATAGTTTTTAACTGTGACCCTATTTCAGGACCACCTTGAAGACAATTGTTCAGTTAAAAGCTGTGTAATGGCATTCTTCCTAAGATTCACTTTTTACTTTTAGCAAATAGATAATACTTCTCTTTCTTTATGCATAAGGGTAAGAATTTTCTCATTCAAGTAAGCTCTACTCATTATTCAGTAATTTCTCCTCACTTCCGTTTTATGGGAGTGCACCTGATTAGATCAGGTAAAGAAAGATGAGTGTGGTGAGTCACTCCTCTCCCAGACGCAGGTCCCTTATACATTTTGTAGGACAAAGCAGAGGAGTAAGTCCAAGTGGGGGTTTAAATTCAAGCCAGCTGTGCTCTCAAAGTGGCGAAAAGGCCGAGATTAACCCTAAAAGCCACCCCAAAAAAACATTTCCATCTGAGGTCATTTACATTTCTTCCCATTTTATTTACTTTTTAAAATTCATGTCCCTAAATAAGATGTAGATGTGCCATATGTGGTCATTTAACTCCAGGTAGCATTCATTTTAAGTACCTGCTGAAATAAGATTATTTTAATATTAGATTTATAAATGCCAACATCTTTCATCTGTTCACAATAACTGGGAATACAATGAAAAACCACTTTTACATTTCTAGTTTCCGTATTGTAAGGAGTAGCAGCCGTTACTGAAGTACTTGCAAAGAATTTTAACTAAATAAGACTTTGTCACTGCTACAAAACAACATGAACTAGGGATAGGAGAAACTTTTGCAGACAGCAGACAAAGTCTGCAGTGCTCGTTCCCCTCTCCCATTCCAGGACTTTTATTAATACCACTCCCCTCCCTCCAGGGCACATATTAAGTCCCATGCTAGTTCTCAGCTACCTGTCAGCTGCAGCCTAGGCTTTGCCAGTTAAGAGTAATCCCCCTCAGGTAGGATTTTATATCCCTTTTGCCCACACCTTGGCCAATGAATAGAGATCCCAAATAAAATGCAATCACAGTACTTACTTCCGGCTCTCTACATGCTTGGCAGTTGACTGAAGGGATGGGAACTGTGTATCGCTGTATATTTCTGGTGGTCCTTGTGGTGTTTTTCTTGTTGTGGTTAACCTGGCCCCAGGAGGCCTATACACACCACTAGTCATTGCCGGTTCTGGGGTTTCTGTAACTAATATTTTGTAACAGTTTAGACAAACTATTCAAATGCTAGGCATTTAAAATAAGCTATTCATGCATTCTCGATCATCTAGCCATTATAGAAAAAGCCAATACCTGATGTAAGAAGGGTCTCTGGGTCCGATAACAAAAGGAAAGTTTTTTCCTAAGGTAGTGTTCTAATCCCTCCTCCATGAACACTATTAATAATCTAAGCGAATGAGTACTATAAGCCTCACTATTGGAAGTGGGAAGGAACCTGCTAGCACTGAACAACAGGGCTCATCAGGGGCTGCCTTTCAGAATGTGACCACATTAGTCCTCAGTTTACTTATCAATAAATATGGATAATGATAATGACTTCTTTACCTGGCTGGTTGGTTAAATAAGATGCCATGTGTAAAGAACTTTTTTAATAAAATGCCTGTGGAGTTGAGATTTTTAAGTAGTTAAAAAAAACATTTTTTTTTTAGAGATAAAGTCTTGTTATCGCCCAGGCTGTAATGCAGTTGCATGATCATAGCTCACTGCAGCCTCAAACTCTGGGCTCAAGCTGATCCTCCTGTCTTGGTCTCCTAAGCAGCTACATAAGTACAAGTGTGTGCCACTGCACTTGACCAATTTATTTTTTGTAGAGATGGGGTCTCACTAGGTTGCCCAGGCTGGTCTCAAACTCCTGGCCTCAAGTTATCCTCCTGCCTCAGCCTTCCAAAGCTCTGGGATTACATGCATGAGCCACTGTGCTGACCTTTATTAATATTCTAAAGATGATAAAAAAATAAAAATAAATGATTAGATATCCTTATTTCACTGTCTTCCACATCATCAATGGATTTTACCACTCTTTCTCTATTTACTTAGAAAATATGGATAAAACAGGAAAAAAAATGAAGCAACTCAGCAGCCCAAAGTCTTCCCTCGTGGCTAACATTTGGGCACATAGCCCCCTTCCAGCTTTTTCCTCTTTTTTTCTGTCCTCAAAATAGATTCAAATAATGTTACATACGTGTTTTCCACTTATGGAATACGTCATTTCAAATAAACATCTAGATAAAGATTTTCCAGCTGACATATAAGACAGCCATTTCAATACTGTTTTTGTATAGTTTTTGATTATATGAGGGAAAGCTTATATGTGCATCCATTATTTACTCAGCACCCAAACCACGTACTGTGGACGTGCGTGGCAGAAACCCCTGCCTTCATGACTCTATTAGTCTAGCTACACCTTTATTTAAAATGTGTAGGATGAAATAAAATTTAAAATTTAGTTTCTTGATCACATTAGCTACGTTTTAAGTACTCAATAACCCTTTGTGGCTAGTGGTTACTGTGCCAGACAGTGCTCTTCCATCATCACAAAAAGTTCTACTAGACAGCGGTATTCCAGAGAGAGGAAACATGTAAAAACAGAGAGGAGCTATAGCAAAAATTAAAGTAGGGAAGGGTTTGTGAAGAGAGTACAAAACGGATAGGGTGTAGGCTGTTGTTTTAAATAAGTGGTAAGGTCTCAGTGATTAGGTAAAAATTGAGCAAAGACCTGAAAAGAGGAAGCAAACAGAAAAGAGTCAATGGCATATAAAACAGACTGGCAAGGGAGTGAGGACAGACAGCAGAGAAGCTAGGACTGAGACCAGGAGCAGACCAGCATTTAGAGGCAGAGAAGAAGAGATAACCAGCAAAGACTGGGAAACAATCAACAAAGGAAGAGAATGTGGTGTCCTGGAAGCCAAGAGAAGAATGTGTTTTGAGGGAGCGATCAACTGTGCCAAATGTTGCTGACGGGTCAAGTCAAATGAAGACTGAGACTTGGGAGTTGGATTTATCAATGTAGAGGGGTTACTGGGGACCACTGACAGAAAGGTTAAAAAGTTAAATAGACAAAAATATATACACATAGCAAAACACTAGAAAGGATGCAAAAATTTTAACATGTAGTAGTTATCTACGATCTCTGGATAGCAAGATTTGGGGTGATCTGTCACCCCAAATTTATTATTCTCAATAAAATAAGAGGTATATACTATTTTAAAGTTATGGCTTCTCAAACTTTTTTTTTCATTATTGCCTTCTAAGGAGCCCTTTGAGACATCTTTTCCCTAAATGCCCCCTACCCCATGAAATTTTAAAACCACATATATACATCTGTTTGTGTACTTTGCTCCTTTGGTGGGCCACAAACTACTGTTGAGATTTAAGATTTCTTTACCCCCAAAGAACCACCAACTTTCACCCTTGAGAAGGATAACATCAGCCCTGCTGAGAATTCATGCTTCAAGATGTAGGAACAAAATAGGGAATGGGAAAAAAAAGATAAGCACAAGTGAAACACAAGGGGTCCAATATTCCTTACTCAGCTGTCAAAAATATTTTAACGTAATAAAAGCTTTAAGGAACTGCCTCTCCTGTGAAAACTTTTGGAGTTAAATCCATTACTAAATATCCTGAATGAAGCTTACCTTGGATTCTAGTAAATGAAAGTCTTTTCCTTACCTATTTCCCCACTAGCCAGGAGTTAATATTTATGGAGGAAAACTGGAATAAATGCTTAAATATTTAAATAGTTTATTAACTAGTTACTTAATTGTCTAGTCTACCTATAAATTTATCCTATAAATTTTAGTGCCATATAGAACAAAAGTATGTCTTTTAACTTCCAGATTCCTTTTATTTAGGATTTGAAAGTCTTTGTAGTTGAAAGATGACCACACATAAAATTATACATGAATTAGACATCCTTCTGAAACTAAAATAGTAAGATTACCAATTATTGGAGCAGGAGGTGCTTGTACCGGAGCTGTTTTATTCCAGGGACCTGAAGACTTTTCTATACCACCACCTCCTCCTCCACCTTCTTCCCAGTTATCACCTGGATCTTCTCTCTTTTCATTATCTTCTTCTTCCTTTTCACTATAGGACAAGCAAACAAGTTAATTCAATGAAAGATCCACCAAGAAAGCTGTCAGTCCAAATCCTTAGTTCTGTCAATGCTCATCTGTGTGACCCAACAGAAGTTACTTAACTTCTTGGAAGCCTAAATGCCTCACTTCCTGGGGAAAAAACGGGGGTGGGGGTGGAGAAATAGAGAATTTTACCTATCTTATACACTGGGACTTATACTTGACTTTATGTGAAAAAAGGATTTCTTTGCTTAAAAAGGTACAGAAAATCACTAAGTCTGATAGTTTCTCCTTCCTTTTTTGCAAACCACCTCATACACTCAAAAATTTAGAAATATTTAAAATACTGGCATGCCTGTGTGACAACCTGCATGATTATTTATAGCAGCCCCAAGTAAAAGCAGGACCTTGCTACTGGATAGGGAAGGAAGAGAGGCTGATGTACCCTGAAATGCAGAGAAAAGAGTGACCTGAAGGATCAAAAGCACAATTACAAGATGTATTTTGGAGCTAAGTGTATAAATAGGCATTTATGGTAAGCATATTTTTAGTGAGCAAATAAGTGGTTTCTGAAAAGTTGTGTAATTTTATTTGCAAATCCTTTAGCACATGTAACAAAATGCTCTCAGAATTAGAATTCACAATTCAACAGAAAACAAGTCTGTGTCCAGTGTTTACATAAGTGATATAGATTTCATTAGTGCAGTCTCTACTGTCTGGCACAGAGAATACATAGAACTAGCCCCTAACATCAAACATGTTATTTGTCACTTATTTAAAAAAAAAATTAGAAAATACAAGAATTCACTTTGGCTTACCAGTTATTATAAATGCAAAAGATATACACTGGTAACACACCATCTTAAGACTGCTTATAGTGTGTATTCAACACCAATTTTTATTTTTTTATTCTTAAATTTACTTGAGTCAAATCTATTTCTCCAAGGTATCTTTGATATTTCTCTGTTTGCTGAATTACTTATTACAGTTTTATGTAAACTTTTAAGTCCTAAATTACCAAGTACATTTATCTTTTCTCTCTACTGCTGGCTTGACAGCAGGGATTTTCAGTACAGTAACTGCTAAATCAAATGTCCTTTTTATAACTCTTTGACCTCGCAGATACACCTAGCAAAGATTACCAAACTTTCCCAGAAATATTTTTCATGACAATGGCGGTTTTTCCTAGGTCTTCAGCTTCTAAATCTCCTTCACCTTTCTACCTTTTCCCCTCCCTATTTAAAAACATGGCTGGTCCCCAAATCTCTGTTCCTGGTCTTCCACTCCTTTAGACATTTTCTCCTTTTCTGACCCACAATCATGGCCATAAAAATGTACAGATGACCCCACATGACTCTAAACTGTGTGACCTTGGGAATATCACAGCCTCTCTTGGCTTCTGCAAAAGTACATTTAAGGATGCCTTACTTCCATTTCTATTAAAAAAAAAAAAAACAAAAAAAAAACAACACACACATCCTGACTTAAAGTTCTTGACCAGTTTGACGGTCTTCTTTAAAGATACTTCAAAAAATTTTCAAAAATAATGGCACCATCATACAAATTACCCACCAACCAGAGGTGATTCCAGAATTTACAGGCTAGGGTGGCAACTAGAAAGACGAAAGCGTAACAGATTTATCTTCTACCTGCATTCATAGCAAGGTTTTACTTAAGACTGTATCTGAGGCCGGGCGCGGTGGCTCACGCCTGTAATCCTAGCTCTCTGGGAGGCCGAGGCGGGCGGATTGTTTGAGTTCAGGAGTTCGAAACCAGCCTGAGCAAGAGCGAGACCCCCGTCTCTACTAAAAATAGAAAGAAATTAATTGGACAACTAAAAATATACAGAAAAATTAGCCGGGCATGGTGGCGCATGCCTGTAGTCCCAGCTACTCGGGAGCCTGAGGCAGAAGGATCTCTTGAGCCCAGGAGTTTGAGGTTGCTGTGAGCTAGGCTGATGCCACAGCACTCACTCTAACCTGGGCAAAAGAGTGAGACTCTGTCTCCAAAAAAAAGACTGTATCTGAGAGAAAAAAAGGCTGGAGAAGATACGGCCAAGCCATCCTCAGTGTTCCTTTTGACTAACAACATAACAGAATTCTATGCAGCCATTTAAAATGATGTTAAGCCTATGATGATATGGAAGTAATATTCATGTCATAAACAACTTACTAAAACAATACCTATATACCTAATATGAAGACATCTATAACAATTTTTTTTAACGTTCTAAGGAATAGCTTTGGGTGCTAGAATGCATGACTTTATTTCTTTCATGCAGCAAGCAGTTAGGAGCAGATTCTAAAGCCAGACTGCCTGGTTCAAATCCAGGCTCTGCCATTTACTAGCCAGGAGACTTTGAGTACGGCACCTAGCTTGTCTATGCCTCAGTTTCTTCTTATGTAAAATGGAGCTAACAGCCTCATTTTATGAAGATTAAATGATATAACATTAGAACAATGCCTGGCACATAGTAAGCACTGTGCTTGCTACTACACGCTTTTTAATATTCATCTGAATTTTTGTACAAGCAGCAATATCGCACTTCATAATAGGAAAAAAAAGTTTTTACTTGAAAAAAACAAAAATGAAAACATGTTTTTTTAAATGGATTTTAAAAAATTGATACCAATCAGTATGACCTGGTTTTCTAAAGGTAGCTTAAGTGGGATGAATGATCAAGTAAGAATATGAAGGTCATAATTTATCCAGGAGTCTAACAGTGGTATCCAAACATCAGAATTGTCCCAAAAGGATTAAAAAAAAACCCATTTCTGAAGTGCCAGTGTACTTACATTATAATGGGATTTGCTTGGTTCAAGGGTAAAAATATGAGTGCTAGTCACTAGCTACAACTGACTAGTTAGTTAGTAATGTCTCAGCAACCCAATCCATGCCTAAGAGGTAAAGCCTCCACAAGGACTGAAGTACATTCATGCTGCTTACATACTCTTTTATACTCCCAAGCAGTAATAACTTTCAGTTGGTCATTTACATTTTTAAACAGTTGTTAACTCACCCATGTACTAAATCACAATTGTTCACACACATACTAGATTCTAAAATATATTTTCCCCATAATTACTTTAATATTTGGTGACTAATATCTAAACTCCAAAATTATTATTTTGCAATAAACAATCTTCAACTGAAAAGCAAAAAGCCTTTAACACTGATTACCCCTAAATTGAAGAGATTATATAGATAATTCTTATACATATCTTTATGCTTTCAAATTTTTTCAAATGTTCTAAAACCAAGCATATTATTTTTCTAATTCACAAAATAATTTTAAAGAAAACTCCAATGTGGTCTGATAGAATACTGGCGGCATCTGAAGCAAAAGAAGTTTCCTTTACTGTCCAGTGTCTTTCTACTGCCTCCTTGCTCTCAGGGAAAAAAACAAATGAATAAAATAACCACAAATTTAAAAATATATTTAGTTTATAAACTATTACTAAAAACCAAGCACAATCCATTTAATTAGATGGACAATATATCTATAATAAAAGGTGCAAGGAAACAAGTTAATATTTTGGTTCAGATTCTGAAATATTACCTATCGTAACACTGGAAACCGTCAAGACTGTTGATCCAACAAATGAAGGAACTAAGGCCCATAGATGCTTAGAGGCTTGCCTAAAAATGCCACAGCACTAAACGCAGGGTAGAAATGATTTACATATTCTATTACTTTTTCATATTTACATATTCCAGAAAGTGTCAACTCTCCAAATGCCAAATCCAGAACAAGAAACATGCTGCGGTGACTTCCACAGAAGACAGGCTAAAATTCAGTGTTTGACCTACATATAACATATAGCTTCTCAACAGCTAAATTTTCTCCTTTAAACACTATAATCCGACTGGTAAATTCATCAAAATTCAAGTAGGGAAGTGTACATTTTAAAATATGTGTAAGTCCATAAGATACTATTGATGGGGCAGAGAGAATAATGATGTTAGAAAAGGAACATTTACTGAATACTAAGCCAGGCAGCATAGTACACTTTACACAGTTAAACCTCACAAGTAACACTAAGGAGGGAGGGAACCCACTGCATATGAGACTGATAGGCATTTAAGTACCTTCCCCAGGGCTACGAAGTAGGAGTGCCAAGACAGTGGGACTCCAGAGCCCATCTTCTTTCACATTGCCTCTTATTTCACTGTATCCTCTTGACAGCTACCTTAGAAATTTTCTTTATTTTGAAGTCTGAGAAATTCATTTTCTTTAGCAAAGTTGATCAGGATCACATATTCCGCAACAGATTATTTATAAGGAACCGAACATTCTTATTTCCTTACCTCAAGGGACATGAGAATTTATGCATCCTAACTCCCCTTCCCCAACACTAGAGGGAAGCAGCTAAAACAAAAACTGGACTTGATTGCATGGAACTGCAGGTGAATATGAAAAAAAAAATTTAAAGAAAAATAAAATTCAGACTTGACTGAGCTGCTGGAATGCTGGGCATCTCCATAGGTCCGTCCCTGTCATACCAACCACTGTTACAACAGTAAAATGGAGAGGTAAAAATGGCCTGATGAGCTATGCCTGGTGGCTTAAAATGTACTGCACTTCATCCTAAGAATCTTTCCTGACCCCTTCATGGTACACTGTCTCTCCACTGTGCCCCAGAATACCCTACACATCTCTTTGAAATTATCTACTGATGTCTATTACAGCATGGGTTGTTTTTACAACCCGAAAATCTAGCGCACAATATCTGACAGTCATCACACAAATATCTCCTACAATGAATCCAGCGTGGATTGAGGAGTAATTTCTTTTCAAAATACAACTTAACCAGCTCTACCGAGTTAAGTTTAAATAGGTTTAAAGGTCTAGATTTCTCAAGAAGCTTCCAAGAAAAACCACTGGGCTCCGAGAACTCAATTCTTTACTGAAATATAACAGATGCTCAATATTGTATAACCTCAAAAATTAAATGAAATCTAACTTTCTTCCAAAAATCCACTTTAAAGATGGGAGAGGGCTTCATATCCTATCATCAACCAATTTTCTAAGCTCCAAGTGTCAGGCTCCTTTGTCACCACCTCAGCTTCCCTGTCAAGAACCTGTCTATAATGATATGACCCTGAATAAGATCCATTAATTTAGACACAAAATTGGGCACATTAAGTACTCTTGGTACTTAAATCTTGAGCTGGTTGATAAACATGAGATAGGACCTTAACATGGTATGTTTGCTGCTACGGAAATCCGCCCCCCTTTCAAACGTACACTTATCTTCGATAAAGGCCCAACATGCTAACCTACTACAAGTACTAGTGTCAAGAACTTTAAAACTGTATGCAAAACCTGCAGCTAATGTTCAGTATATGGATAAAGATAAAGCAGATATGACAAAGATTGGTGGACCTGAGTGAAGAGCATAGGGAAGAAGTAATGTTTTTTCAATGTTAGCAGGTCAGTGGAAAACCTCTAGGATGGCCACTGACGAGCAACGACTAGATGCTAAGAATAATGAAAAAACACAATATAAAAACTGGTTTACTTCAAGTCAAGAAGAATGTGAATGCTCATACTAGCTGAGATTTACTTAAGCCCCTGGCAAGGGTAAAGTATTTAACTTATTTAAGAAACCTTTCACCATCTCAGGAGTAGCCAAAATAGATAAAGACTAAAATAACCCTAAATATGAATATAGGATTTATAGTCAACAACAAAAAAAACCCCACATAGATTCTGCTTAAACATTCGCCATAATTTAACAAAATCAATTTCTAACATTCAGTAAACTTGAAACCTTTTCTCTTCAGACAGTATTACTCCTACCCAGTAAATTCAACATGGCGAAACACCATTCTTCCTGTCACTCGAGTTTGTAAGAACACCAGTCAGTCGGGAAAGAAAAGGCAGACCAAGAAAAGCCTTATCTTTACAGCAGAACAGGAGCCACACACACAGGTAGTCCCACAACCCCAAATGTAAGAACCTCACATTCCCTCCTCTCCCATTTTACAGGTCAAGACCCGGAAGAAAGGAAATGGGGATATTTTCTAAATTACAGCTTTTCAAAAACATTTAAAACACAAAGGAAGCCAACAAGTGGCTGGGGATCAAACTCCAGTCAAATCACTTCTACTGAACACTACTACAAAGGAATCAAGAATGGAGAAGCCACAGTTCCTAAAAAGTTTCCCACTATCAGTCAGGAGGTTTCACTTTGGTTAAGCTCCCAAAATGATATGCAAACACCTAGGACATTAATGCCTAGCTGTAGTAGGTATTCAACAAATGTCAAAAACAGCAGCCCTGTTCTCAACAATGTAAGAAGCAGAGTGGATAAAAAAGAAAAAAAATGCTATCCCTGGTTTTTGAAGAAGTTCTAAGGCCATAAACACTGTCATCCAAAGAGATCAAAAGACAGCTTTCAGTTAAGGAAACTATTTAGTCCACAGTGCCACGAAGTCACTGGCATTGCATACAAAATGCAAACTTTAAAACTGGAAGCAGTTTATCAAGATCCTTTATTTCTTTAAACTGGGAGTAAAGGATTTTTAATCTTTAACCAGAACCATACATTCATCTATTTTTTTCCTACTTTACTAAAGCTTCAAAATATGGCATTTATTTAACAACAATCTAAAGTTCAATACCACACACTGGACTTGACAAAGTATGTTCTTAATTCCAAATCCTCTAAACCAACCAATCCAATTTTTTAAAATTACTATGTTTTCTTGAACTTTAAAGATAACACGCTTAGATTGTATGGTTCCACTATTATCAAGTTCTAAAGGAAAAAATTAACCTGTGGTGTTAGGATAGTGGTTATCTTTGGGGATGAAGGCAGTGACTAGGTGTTAGAAATACTGGTACTTGTTCTATACCAGTCACGTTCATTTTCTTGACCTGGGTGCTGATTACAGGTGTACACTGTGTGAACACGTAAAATCTCTATTTCTCTGTAAGTATGCTATACTTCAATTACAAAAATATATATTAATTTGCTTATTGGAGAGAATCTGAAAACATCCACATTATCTTTGAGACAAAAAGAAAAACTAAGTTCAGTCACCAAAACTAAAAGAATTTTGAAGTGACAAAATCTATTTTAGCTGGCTCAAATGAAAAGGCCCTAACTATAACTGAAGTAGGCAAGCTCTCACAGGATTTTAGAGCTAGCAGCTAATTTGATGAGCAAATAGAAGGACTGCCTTCCTGGAGTGAGAAAGAATAGACATAATCCATTAGAGTCCTAATAAGCATATCTAAAGCACAAGGCTACTGTGATGCTGCTCTGGGACTCAAGGGCTGAAAAAAAAAGCAAACTTGTATCCAATACCTAGCCTAAAGGTTATCTAAACACATTTGTAACTAGACCATACCTTATTTGCATTGCCTGAACTCTGAGGCCACTGTAATCAACCTCTTTTTGCTCAAATTCTTTCCATTCATCTTCATCCTGTAAAACAAATACCATTTGATCAATTAAAACTATTTGTAAACATACAACTAAACAAATAACAGACTATGAAAAGGGGATCAACTGGCTAAACTAAGTATGGACTCATTTTCTAGCTGAAGCCTTTGCTTGATCCCGAGGAGACTAGACTGGATGGAGGACAAACGTGCTGAGTAGTCCAACATTGTTACTTCCGCCGGGTTCCTGCAGGAGAGCTGTTACTTTAAAGCAACTTAGGAAAAGCCGAATGAAAAAGTCAACAGTAATTCCACAACTACATTTCTACCTCAATACTGCCACGAGACTTTTACGGGCTTAGAAACCAAGTCATGACAACAGAGTGCCACAAATGCGACTGTTAGGAGAAAATGCAGCTCAAACTACCGGGCTTAAGCCAGCACACCAAATTACTCAAGAGTAGACGTCACTCGGTAAATGCTGTGCCGGGCACTGCAGCCCCAAACCAAGTGCCCCTTGAGGGTGCTGCCGCCTCAGTCGCGGCTAAAGCCAGCGCCGCGGGATGTGAGGGCGGGTCGGGGACGGGTGTCAGGGGGGTCCCGGTGCCGGCAAGCCCGGCCCGACGAGGGAAGCCGACGTCACGTGGCTGGTCCCCGCGCCCGCTCGCCGCTGGCCGGCCCCCGCGGCCCCTCCCGGACGCCTCCCCAGGCAGGCGGGGGCGGGCACATTAGTGAGGGCGCGCGGCCGGGCCCCGAGTGCCGGCCTGCCGGCCCCTCACCTTCGTCACAGCCTTGGTAGCGGCCCCTGGGCCGGCGGCCCCCGCGCTCGCGGTCCCGCCATCTCCCGGCCGGGGCCCCGCGCCTGCCCCGCTGCCCGCCGCACCCGCGGCTCCGCTGCTCCCGCCGGCGCTGCCCGCTGCGCTCGCGGCGCTCGCTGCCCGGCTGCTCCTCTCCTTCTTCTTTTTCTTGTCCCTCTTGGCGAAGAAGTTGTCCAGGCTCCGCTCCTCCGTCTCGGCCATTGCCGCGGCCTCCTCGGCCCGGATGGGTGGGGCCGGCAGCGTGCGAGGCCCTCGGGTCTCCGAGCTCTGGGTCGAGGCCGGCTCTGCGCTCACGCTGCCGGGCGCGGCGACGCCTCAGCCCCGCGGGGTCGCCGAGGCGCGTGCGGCTCCCCCCGCGTGCTGGCGAGCGGTGGTACGGTCCGCCCGGGGTATCGCGCGCCGCTGCGGCCGCCCGAGCCCGCCCGCGATGCCGCTGCTGCCGCGACGGCGGTGCAGGGTCCCGGTCGCCCCACAGCCAGACAGGAAGGGGAACGCGCGGGCCAGAAGCTCCAGCGAGAGTGCTTGTCTAGCGGCGGCGCGTGCAGGAGGAAGACGCGCGCGCGCAGGCCCGGAGAGGAGGGGAGAGGGGGTGGGGAGAGGGGGTGGGGAGGGGAGGGAGGGGGAGGAGGAGGAGGGAGGGCGGGCCACCAGAAGAGAGAGGCAGCGCCCGCGCCTGCGTACTTTGCTCCGCCCGCCGCTGTGGGAGCGCGGAGGGGCGGGCGGCGGGAGGAAATGGAGGCGGAGCTGGCAAAAGAACCAATCAGCTGCCATGACGGAGCGCTTAGGTGACAATCTGTGCCTCAGACAGGGCGGGGCCCCGGCGTGGGGGCGGTGAGAGGAGGGTATATGCAAATAAGTGACGTGCCTGAAGACTCCGGTTCCCGATTGGCCGAGGGTTTAGCCTTGAGGGCGGGCATTTAGAGGGCCGGTTGGTGACTTGGCCAAAGCAGTCCAGTCGGAGGGGCGGTTGGGTGCTGTCTGGGCGCATGCGTACGGTACACTTGTGATTGCTCGCCCGGAGCGATCTATGGCCTCTTGCTCTTTTGAACTTTAGTGAAACGGAAAGACACTGTGTTAAGCCATCTATGTTAAAGATTATCCCTCCCCCTTTGCTCGCCTCTGTATTTCCACCCTCTGTGGTCTGGCAACCATTACTTTTCATCTTTACGGGATGATTAGTATGAAAGTGAGAGAAGCAGTGAGCTTGAAGTTTAAGTCCCGTTTACTAAAAGATCTTTAATAAGCCAGTAGGAAGGTAGAACTCCGCTCTCTACTAGATATGTCTATCAAGGTCAAGTTAAATAAATCTGACCTTCTAGCCCCTCATCTGTGAAGTGGACAAGCTAGCTCTTGCAAATATGGGGGAAAGAGAGTACCTGTCAGCTGCAGCCCAGCACAGTGCTCAGCACGCATTGGATGCGAGATAAATGATTTTTAAAATACATTTAAGGAGTGCCCCCTACCCTGACTTGAGTCTGGATGAGGACTACAGTTTATCCTTAGTTTCTATCCCTGATAAAGGAGGGGAATGGTGTATCACGGGGTGGAGACCAAAATGCCCTTGCTAAACCTGGCTTTACTATTTAAGTACCCTTGGGGCCTTGAGAATGAAATGAATTCATGTGTATGCAAAAGGTGGTCTAGTGTAAGATTTTTAAATTTCCATTTCCTCCTTCTAAAAGCAGGGGAGAGAGCTATCACAAAACTGAGGAAATGACTCAGATATATGTTGGTAGTCTTGTGGGGCAGATTGAACCCAGCCAGTAAATGAAGTGACTTCTTTGTCTTTTCCTTTACAATTTCCCTGTGAAAGATTGTCATTTCCTACCCACCACATACTGTTAAAGAACTAAGTTGTGAATATGTCCCAGAAGTAAAGGACCTAGCCTTGGCCAACAACATATATTATTCCCCAAACATAAACTGCCCCCAGCCACCCAGAAGAGTCCTAGGTAACTTCCTTCTGTGACACCACATATCTTCCTGTGATGTAGGCCAAGCACCAGCCCAGCACCACCAGCACCACCCGCACCACCCCTTAACATCTCTAATCAAATTTTTCTTTCTTTCTTTTCTTTCTTTTCTTCTTTCTTTCTCCCTCCCTTCCTCTCTCTCTCCCCCCTCTTTCTTTCTTTCTTCATCTATGAAGCAGTTATTTAGCTATATTTAAGGCAATGTGCCTTATTCAAAGTTAAGTAATTTGTGATTCCTGCCTTCAATTCCCTTATAATCTAGAAGAGAAGATCTAGATATAAATAACTGAAATGCCTCAATACATCATTGTCTTCAAGGGATTAATGACTTGAGAAAATGCAGAGAAGGAACAGCAGTGGAAGGCTGACACTGCAGAACTTCCCACTACATTTTTCAGTGTGATTGATGGCATGCACCAGAACTTGATCATGTGTAAGAAATTCAGGTCAGGCCAGTACAGAGACCAGTGTCTTTGTGTCTGTGTCATTGTATGTGGTTATTCTCTCCTATGTGAAGCTGGTCCCTTTCTCTTTGAATCCCCTGCCTGAAACCGACAGCATCTATTCCTACCAGTTACTCCTTTCCCCTGCCACCCTTCTTCAGATTGGTTGCCCAGTGCACTGAATCCTGCCATCACCACCTCCCTCGCCATCACCAGGCCCCCATCTCTGAAGCATCCTCTACCTCTCTTGATGAAGATGTCTTCCCCTCTACCTTCCATTGTTTTTGGATCTTCCCCATCCTTAAAGCAAACCAGATCTTCACTTGTCCTTGCCAGATGGAAAATTGAATAGTGATGAGGACTATTCCCAGGTATTTCAGCACATCCAAAGTTCCTAAAGTGCTGCCTGAACATGGGAATTTCTGTCTGGGTCCTCTGAAATGGTACAATCCTACAATCCAAAGGACATCATTTATCTCCCTCGACAAGGCCTGCTGAGCTCCAATATTCCATGAGCTCAAGAGCTGGCAAAGGGCAGCTGGACCGGGCCCCATTGTTTCTCGGTTCTTTTCTGCTGAGCTATTTGTTCCAAGTTCCATTCTGCTACCTAGGCTGAAAATTCCACTCATGCTCAGCTCAAAGGAATGCTGGCCAAAGAGCTCGCCAGGAAATGGGTGGCTAAAATCCTTCTTTTCATTTGTGGCTTCCTCTGTAACATCTGTGAGGCGGACTATGCCACTGCCTGAGCTGTTCCACCCTTTTTCAACTGAGGAGCAGCTACTTACAGGTCACCTCCTCTGGGGAAGGTCTCTTCTGGTTCTCTACAGGCAGCTTGATTTCCTGGTCTTCAAAGGCCCAGGGTTTGTTCTTTGGTATGATATTTGAAACCTTCCTGGTATTCACATGTTTGGTTTATTATTTAACCACTTTCATCCATTCACTCACTCATTTATATAAAACATTTACTTAATGAGCACCTACTATATGCAAGACCCTGTCCATGTTAAGAGTTAAGGAAAGTAAGTCAGATACAGGCCCTGCCCTCCCAGAGCTTACTGTATAGCAGCTGGCAATTAGAAGCAGATGTCTGAGTATACCCACAATGACAGCACATTGAAAACTCTTGAAGGCAGGAATCACACAAGCATTTGACTGATGTTTGTAAAATGAAAAATGTCTCTATGAATCCTCAATTTTCCACATTAACAGAAGTTTTCACAAACCATTGATTATCAAAAAGTGTTTCTTTGTTGGCTTCTGAACACATGCTAACTCTGCCACATAAAACAAAGAATTCAACCTTCTCCCTCAACCTCAAGTCCCTCCTTAGCTTATCCCTGGCATTAAGGCCCTAGTTAGAGGAGGCATGGACAGAAACAGGAATGAGGCCCCAGATACCGGGGAGAGCTAGGAGAGCTTATTTCCTTCCATAAAGACAGAGAGGGCTGCTATGCATGCCTCCCCCTCCCGGCCCCCTGACATAGACACACACATACACCCACCACCAAGGCTTGGGAAGGGGAGTCAGACTAACATCCACCCCCAAAGGGTCTGGTTTGCTGTTAATTGAATCACGTGAAGCTGCTGCTATTTCACTGCTTTTGACCTACCAAAACAATAATCTCATAAGGTGCAACCTAATATATTTGAGGAAAAACCAAAAAGTTTTGTAAATGAACGAAGAGCTAGGGAACAACCTGCCCATCCATCAAGGTGACTTCCCTGATGTGTGTGTTGAGGGGGAGGGCTGGGATGTGATGACAACCGAATGATCAGCAACCTCATCAACTTTATTGTATGGAGAATGTGTGAACTGAAGGATGAGGGATGAGGCTGGAGAATAGACAGAAGAAGGAAAAAGAAATAGGATAAAGCCAAAAGCCAGAAGTTGGCACTTATTGCTCTTCACTATCCAGGAAAGAGCAGCATGAAATTGGTGCTGACACAGACGTGACCTGCAGTGCGGTGGAGATGATTCACCAGGCCCCACCCTGACTTGGGTGAAATAGCCCTCAGAAGGTCAGCCTCTCCTGACTCTCGGGATACACTCACCAACCAGCCTACTGATGACAAATTTGGCTCCCTGGGATCGCTGATGTTGGGAAATGCCTGCCCCAGTTGGGGGAGGAAGATTCCAGTTACTGAAGGGCTAACACCAACCGCTAATGAATATATTGGCATGTGGTTATATACTTTGGCCTCCTATGAGTTGGATTGCTGGGAGTCGGGATTCTCTAGTCAGATAAGCTCCCCAGGACACTGATTTGGCTGTTAGCCAGCTAAAGCTCTGTGGCAAATTTACCAAGGAAAAGCTACCCTGGGTGGCCACTTTGGGAGCCAGTCAAGTGACTCTGGCACAAAGCAAGACCTTCTGACTCAATCATTTTGATCACAGAGTACAAGGGATATAATTATGTTGGCAAGGCGCGATTATCCTGTCCCTGACTTCAACTCCATTCCTGATCCTACTTCATGACCTAACAACTAGATGTGAAATTGTCTGGCATGTTCTGCTTCTGACTCAGAGCCTTCCCAGTCCAGGTTACCGGGTCAGTGGGGCAATAGTATTGTCATCCTCCTTGGGCTGAAAAAAGCAGGGAGGGGGCGAGAGGGTAGAGAGTGCTGGGGGATCTTCCCTGTGCCTCGTTGAAGGCACGTGCTCTACTCTCTCAGGGATTCTGCTCTTTACCCCACGGTCAAGTACATGTTTTCTGGAGTCAGACCTGGGTTCAAGTCACAGTTCTGCCTCCTCCTAGCAAGTCACTTAACTTCTTTGCATCTCAGACTTTTTTCATCTGTAAAGTGGGGGTGATAAACACACCTGCCTTGTGGAGTTGTGAGGATTAAACGAGGGGATGATTTTAAGGCACTCAGCTCAGTGCCCAGCAAATAGGAAACACAACTTTAGGATGAGTGTTAGCCATGACGAAAATGGTGATGATGCTTATGCTGACATGTATCCTGATTTATAGTACACGGGGGCTTTGGTGACTGTCCTTTCATCTGTCCTCTCCGACCCACCACCCATTCACCACAGCATCCTCAGTGCCTTCTGCCCCATAGTAGACCATCAGTAAACATTGGTTGGCAATCAAAAAAGAACAAAAACGTCTGGGTGTGGTGGCTCATGCCTGTGATTCTATT